TTTTTTTTTTTTTCACGCCACCGTCCTCCTCTAGCTCTGCATCACTCCCTTGACAACAGCAGCGATGGCGGAGCCCGGAGCAATGGATGAAACAGCGACGGCAGCATCACCGACGCCGGGCCTCTCTCCAGCGGCCAGCCCGGGCTCGGAGCCTCCCTCAACGGCCCTGTCCCCCACGGCGGACGGCTCCCAGCGGCTGCTCTTCTCGCACGACCTGGTCTCCGGACGGTACCGGGGCTCTGTCCGGTTTGGCCTCGTTCGGATGATCCACGGCGAGGAAGATTTCAACTCGGACTCGGACCTCGACGACGGCGGAGGGAGAGGCGGCGGGGAAGGGGGAGGCGGGGGCGGCGGCGGAGGAGGTCGGTTGCCCTGCGGTTCGGACACCGAGAGCGCCCTGGACACCCCGAGTCGGCCTCTGGGCAGGGGGTTTGTTCGCGTCCAGTGGTACCCTGAAGGAGCCAAGCAGGACATCAGGGAGACAAAGGTATCCACCGCCCGCTGTTGTTTTACATGTTTACACAAATGGGGTGGTAATTACGCCCTGTGTTTTAAACCTGCTTGTATTTTTTTTGGAAGAGATAAGCGAACACTTCAGCCTGTCAGGGATAAGGTTCYCATAATCCTGCCTTAAACCGAGCTCGCTAATTGGCTAGCATGACAGGCTAGTTAGCCGTGTAGCTCGCATCCTCATGGGTCTTCAGCCGGACCTGGTCCGTTTTTCCATCTGGATGAATGTTCCCTCACACAGTCTGTGAACAGCCTGGGTTCACGGGTAAAGGTTTTAGCAGGTTCAGGTCCCCCTGCTTGTGAACCCATGCCCACTGATGAGGTCATCCTGTGTGGTTCCTCAGCTGGGTGGGACCTGGCTCCAGACCAACAGAACAGTCACTCAGGATTGTAGTTTCACATCAGGGCTCCAAAACATTTGTAGGTTTCTAGTTCATTCAGTATGATAAATGATCAGTTATTTATATGTGTGTGTGTGTATATATATGTGTTTACTGAGTAATTGTTGGGTGAAAATATGACATGTCTTCAGAAAATTCACTCCATGTTGTCCTTTTTGAATAGTTTGTCATTATTTTAGTTTTTAGGGGTCTAACAATACTTATGATGATGCAATTCAAGGTAAAACTATCATTTTGATTGCATACTTATGAAATGAATTGAATAAAAATCGAATTAGACTTTGTGATACTGAGAAACGTGTCGTCATCCAAACAAATCAATACATTTTATTGTGATAAAACTAGTGATTTACACCCCTAGTTGCCATTTTATCATTGTTACCTGATTGTTTTCCTCGATCAATGAATTACCAGATAAAATGTATAAAAACAAAATATTTATTTTTTTTATAAACCCTTGAATAACTTGTCTGAATCTTAAGCTTTTTTGTTTGGTTTGGGCCTCTGGTAAGGATAGCCACTCACCACCTTTAAAGAGACATGCCTAAACATTTCTCCAGAGGTGGTCAGGGGCCATCCAAGACCCCCAGGTAAGACAAACTCTTCTTTGACAGAAAGCATCCGAGGCGACAGCCCTGAATGTTCAGGTCTAAAATCTGTTGCTGATATTAAAAATTAAAAAAAAATCCATTTCAAATATGCATGCCAAATAAAGTCTGGTTTATTATGGGTGGAGGTGGGTAATAAAGTAACATGCATGAGCTTTAATGCCGCTTTGAAAGGAATGTGCCCAAATTTAACCTGTAATTTTTTAAACACTGGCAAAAGAAGAGTCACTTGTTGCTTTGTCACATATAGAAAATTTACCTTCACCTTTTGACTTTTATTCCTGACATCTAATCYCTTAATCCTAGACAAGATCACAGAAAAACACTGGAGTACAGAATGTTATTTACCAAGTACAAGATGAGGGTACAAAATGGTGAAAATATAAAGTAGCCAGTACACAGACTTCTACTATTAGAGATTAGCTTGTTCCCTCTGTTTAAGTCTGTATTTGAATTAAGGTGGAATCTATGTAGTGAGTCACAAATCACTCAAATGTTTCTAAAACACATTGTTGTTCTCCATTGTTCCTGGTTGTGTTGAGGTGAATCATTCATTCAGAAAGACTAAAGTTCGGATTGGTGTTGTTGCAAAAGGTCAGGTGGGTTTAAAGCTGGACAGACCTGGAACAAGCTCATGCAAAATCTATTGGAGTKACTTTAGATGGGACCAGAAGAAGCCRGTTTTAAAACAAACCAGTGCAGGTTTGCTTTTTTCTTTTGAGCTAAATGAGTAAAGTTCTGGTCTGACTGACCGTCATTCTGCTTCTGTCACAACAAAGCGTGTTGTTTCAACAATTATCCTAGACCCCGCGCGGACTGTAAAGGATGCTGTCAAAGGATTTAGTCGTGAGCGTTTTGTCGCTCGGATTTTATTTTTATGTTTTTGTGTAGCATTTATCCAACACTGCCTCTCTTTTTAACAAAACCACGTTGATTTATTTTCATATTTCTTGGCCGAAACAACAAATAAACACACGCTCACATTGATGCACAGTTTTGGATTTCTCAGGAGTGATAAGTGGATGGAAACAGGCTCATAAAGACTTACAAAGACTATTTTGGGGGGTTTGATGAAAGGTTTTCACTACATAGTAACACAGCTACTAGAGATTATGTAAATATGGTGCTGCATTAAAATGGTGTGATTACCTGGAAGGTTCACTTGTTAAACCTTTTCGTTCTAAATATGTAAATAAACAACACAGGCAGTTTTCTCCGCGTGCACGTCGCCTCACACAACTTGTGTAAGTTTTAGACAAGCTGATTGCAAAGATGTGCGACTATCTGTGGCTGACAAGTTTATCTCCAGTGTGCAGACTCGCTGAAAACGTAACCATCAGTGATTCGTTTGCTTCTCGGGACACGCCCACATTGACTGTGGTGGGTTAGTCAGGGTGTATTGGGTAGACGCTGTAATCAGTATCAAGTAAAACTAGCTTATTTTGAATATTGGTTTTAAAAACCTGAAATGCACAAACTGAATGTGCAACACACTGACTTTTGTCTTGCTGGTCACTTAAACGAGACAGCAAAGGAAAATGTGTCTGTTTTCTTACAAGTTCCTCGCAATTTTGAGGCTCCAGCTACTCTCAGTTTGCAGCCCAGTGAGGTACGATCCTATGCAAGAAGTTGACACTTGTCTTTGTGTTTCTTGTCTAATAAGTTGGAGAAGTAGTGTCAGGAGGAAAAATGCTAATTAGGTTCCTCATACATTTTTAGCACCTTCTGTTCGATCTTCCCCTGCTCTGGAGTTTGACGTAAACCGTTTTGTCTCTCTCGTTATGAATCGTGAATCTCGTGGCAGACAGTCAGACCTTCTTCTCTTTGTTAAATTGGAGTGTTTGTGTTTCAGTGTTGTTTGCTCAGGGKCCTGCAGGTGCTCCACGTTTACCGACAGATGTTATAATCTGGGCCATGAGGCTGTCGCCAAGTCCCACCCTGTGGTGCATTTGAGCACAAAAGCCTAAGGTTTAGAGGAGGTGCCAGGAACACAAACAGATCTAATGCTGCATGAGAATCAGCAAACAACATTTTGTTTTTGTGTTCTTCGTCAGAAAGCATCAGTATCTTGATGAGATTCTTCAGCTTAAAGCTGTTCCTCCTGATGCACGTTAAAAGTATGTGGAGCAGCAAACGATCAATAAGAGCTGTGAAAAGTGACAGGAACAAAAAAAGGTTTTCTTTCGTGTGCATAAAACAGAAAATCTCAGCGGCTGCTAAAGTTGAGGGTGACTTTGCTGCACCTTTTTTTATTATTCCTGTCTTGTCCCTTATCACACACACACACACATGCACACACTACCTCTCAGGCTGTTGTCCTTGTCAGACACTGAACCAGGACGATGCAGGAATTGGTGGAGGAAATGAGGGCGTTCAGGACATAAGACATTTTAAAATCTTTTTATAAACTTTTCTTTTTCTTTGTGCCTAAACTTTTAGGTCTATAATTTAACCTGCTCTACTTCCTGTTGATTTTAATGTTTTTTTCTTTCACTGTCATCCTTTCTTTCTTGGTGAGTCAAACTCAGTTTTTTCTCTCCTTTTGCAACATTTTTCTTAATTTTATTTTCCAAACTGTTCACAAAAAAAGAACAGCTGATCTTTGTTTTSGTGCTTTCTGCACATTCATACGTTCCAGAACCAGACATGGCCACGTTGACCCAGTGTTTCAATCACAGCCAGACTGGTGTTGAAGCTACTGTAGCTCATTAAAACAGCTCCATATGAAGTAGGACGTGTGTATTGTAGTTCAGATCAAGTACAGTAATCATAGACATAGAGATATTTACACACGTTCAAAGCTTTTTATGATCTTATTCATTAAAGCCTGACTCCGTTCTGATGTTTAAATCAGCTGTGACTTGTCATTAGTGATCAGAGCGACTGGGTTGGTGTTCTGAACAAATATAATCCTGCCAGTAAATTCACGCTGGTACTTCCTGTAATAACTGCATCATGATGGAAGTTGTTCATATTTACTGTAAATCCCAGATGAAGTCACAAAAGGCCACTCCCTCATAAAGGTCCATATTTCAGCCATCATCTTTTCTCCATCCTTCACTTGCTGTCTTCACCGTTTCTTATTTTCTGCTCCTCCTCCTCACTCGTCTTCCTGTCCCGTTTCCTCCTCCTCCTCCAGGTTATCTCCTTCATTATGTTTCTTCTTCACCCTCTACCACTCAGCTCCACTCCTGACCMCTCTCCTCCCCCCATGTTCAGCTCCATCCTCACCCTGCACTGATGTAATGTGGTGCTGACTGGCCAGTTGTGTAGCTCGTACTGGAGATAATGGATCTTTCTCCCTCTGCTCAGAACTCACACATTGGGAATACGTAGACTCTGAAGTGACTCGTCTTCTCCCCTTTTCCCTCTCTTCTCCTCTTTCATCTTCCCATCCTTCCTTTTTCCTCTGCAGCATTAGTCCAGCGGAGAGACGTCTGTCCAACTCCAGCCCCTCCCAGACTTCTTTTTTCCGTCTCACTCTCTGCTCTGCTCTGCTTTGCTGCACTCTTGTCTATTTCTGGCTCTTGATTTTCTTGTTTCCTCACTCTCCATCTCCCTACTGGGATCCATCTTTGATCTTCCACTTGTTGGACCGGCTGCCGTCTCATCTGCACAATACTCACTGCTCGTCTTCATTTTCTCCACCCTGTCACACATCCTCCACCTTACCTCAGCCTCCATCTCCCCTGATTTTCTATATCATCTGATCCATTGTATTAATTTGTGTCATCCTTTTTTACGTTCAGATCTCTGTGTTCTACAGTCTCCAGTGCAATCTGCTCATTTTTCTGTTTTTCTGTCAGTCTTTTTTTTGTCTCATCATTGAGTTACGCAGCCAGGATATTTCTTTGTAATAGATGCTCGGTGCTGTGAGTGCTCTCGTCGTTCCCCGTGGACTCAGTGGGTAAAAGGCCTTGTGCCTGCTCTCTCTAATAGAGCTCTGCATACTTCCTGTGTGTCCCAAT